GCATAGTAGGTCAATGCCGTGGTATTGGTGACCAGGACTGTTGGAACCCCACTACCGGTTGCCAGGTATACATCGTATGAAACAGCGCCTGCTGAAGCCGGCCAGCTGAGCCTCGCCGATGTCTGCGTGGGCAGCACTGAACCATTGACAGGTAACGAATTGATGACGCAGGCGGGCACTGTTATAGCAGCTGCGGTGGTAAATGTGGTCGCATTAGTAGCATCGCAACCCACTGCAGGACCGCTGGCATTCTTCGGAACCACATACCAGTTGTACAGCGTTGAAGCAGTTAAGCCGGTAGCACTGTAGGTAGCAGCAGTTACATTAGCCGTTGGTGTCACCGGCGCAGTAGCACCGGTCCAGATATACACATCATAAGAAGTAGCCGTAGCCACAGCACCCCATGTAAGGGTAGCCGTTGTCTGTGTACCGATGGTGGAACCATTGACAGGCGCACTATTGGTTGCGCACACAGGTACCGGTATGGCAGCTGTAGTAAAACTTGTTTTGTTTGTAGCATCACAACCTACCGCGGGACCGCTGGCATTCTTGGGTATTACATACCAGTTGTACAGCGTTGAAGCAGTTAAGCCGGTAGCACTGTAGGTAGCAGCAGTTACATTGGCCGTTGGTGTCACCGGCGCAGTAGCACCTGTCCAGATGTACACGTCATAAGAAGTAGCCGTTGCAACAGCACCCCAGGTGAGGGTAGCAGTTGTCTGCGTACCAATCGTTGATGCGTTGGCTGGTAATGTATTGGTAGCACATACAGGTACTGGTATAGCAGCTGTAGTAAATGTTGTAGCATTGGTCGCATCGCAACCCACTGCTGGGCCGCTGGCATTCTTCGGAACCACATACCAATTGTACAGCGTTGAAGCAGTTAAGCCGGTAGCACTGTAGGTAGCAGCAGTTACATTAGCCGTTGGTGTCACCGGCGCAGTAGCACCTGTCCAGATGTACACGTCATAAGAAGTAGCCGTAGCAACAGCACCCCAGGTTAATGGTAGCAGTTGTCTGCGTACCAATCGTTGATGCGTTGGCTGGTAATGTATTGGTAGCACATACAGGAACTGGTATAGCAGCTGTAGTAAATGTTGTAGCATTGGTCGCATCGCAACCCACTGCTGGACCGCTGGCATTCTTCGGAACCACATACCAGTTGTACAGCGTTGAAGCAGTTAAGCCGGTAGCACTGTAGGTAGCAGCAGTTACGTTGGCCGTTGGCGTCACCGGCGCAGTAGCACCTGTCCAGATATAAACATCATAAGAAGTAGCCGTTGCAACTGCTCCCCAGGTTAGGGTAGCCGTTGTCTGTGTGCCGATCGTCGATGCGTTTGCTGGTAATGTATTGGTAGCGCATACTGGTACTGGTATAGCAGCTGTAGTAAATGTTGTTTTGTTTGTTGCATCACAACCCACTGCAGGACCGCTGCATTCTTCGGAACCACATACCAGTTGTACAGCGTAGAAGCAGTTAAGCCGGTAGCACTGTAGGTAGCAGCAGTTACGTTGGCTGTTGGCGTCACCGGCGCAGTAGCACCGTCCAGATATACACATCATAAGAAGTAGCAGTTGCAACTGCCCCCCAGGTGAGGGTAGCGGTTGTTTGCGTGCCAATGGTAGATGCATTGGCTGGTGTGCTGTTGAGAGCGCAACCGGGCACCGGTACTACTACAGCGGCAGTAGTAAATACAGAAGTATTGGTAGCAGCGCAATTGGTAGCTGGACCACTGGCATTCCTGGGCGCGATATACCAGTTGTAAACAGTGCCGGCGGTAAGACCAGTTGCGTTATAAGTAGTGCCCGCAATATTGGTAGTGGGTGTAACCGGGGCGGTAGCACCTGTCCACAGATATACATCATATGATGTCGCAGTGGCTGCCGTATTCCAGGTTAATGTTGCAGTGGTTTGTGTAGCCAGGGTAGTGCCATTGGCAGGTGCTGTATTGGTAACACAGGACGGCACAGGTACTGCCGCTGCTGTTGTAAAAGTAGTTTTATTGCTTGTGCTGCAGGTAGTATTAGGACCATTTGCATTCCTCGGTGCAATGTACCAGTTGTATAATGTCCCCGCCGTAAGGCCAGTCGCATTATAGGTAGTACCGGTAACATTAGCTGTAGGGCTAACCGGAGCAGTGGCGCCCGTCCAGATATATACATCGTATGACGTAGCAGTAGCTGCTGTGGGCCAGGTGAGCGTGGCAGTTGTCTGCGTACCAATGGTAGACGCATTGGCCGGGCTTGTATTGACAACACATGCAGGAACAGGGCCGGTAACAGAGAAGGTCGTTTTATTAGTGGTGCTGCAACCTGTTGCAGTGCCGGTAACATTTCTTGGCACCACAAACCAGCTGTAACTGTTGCCGGGTGCGACAACCGCATTGTAACTGGTGGTGGTTACATTGGCAGTAGGTGAACCAGGTATGGTTGCACCGGTATACACATACACATCGTAGGAACTGGCATTAAACACCGGATCCCAGGTTAACGTGGTGGAAGTAGTGGAAGGCAGTACTGCTGCATTGGCAGGGGTTAAATTATTGGTACAAAGCGGCAGATCAGGATCGCCGGTTCCCTCAGGATATAGTTGCGATCTGGGCACCAGTTGAAATACCGTAGAAGGGCTTGACCAGCTTAAGGCCGCGATACCGGTATTGTAATTATTTATATTGTTATAAGTATTCTGGAAATTATGAAGATTATAATATTCAATTTTTATATCATATTTCTGGCCAGCAATAAACGAGTATGTTCCCGTATTAACGGTTCTTCCGTGGGTAGTCCAGTTATTAATGATCTGTACCCCATTGATCCACACCCTGATACCATCATCACTGAGGGTAGAAATGGTATAGGTCTCTGTAAATTGGGGTTGAATTTTGCCTATCCAACGGGTAGAATAACTGGTATTTGAAGCAATACCCGTAATAGGGCCTGTACCGTTTTCAGTGTACAGATTGATGATGCCATCAACGCGGGCGGCCGCCAGCGTAGTGAGCGTTGTTCCAGAGTAATAGTTCCCTTTCAGACCGGTTCCGGTTCCTACTACCGGCGGACACACTGCCGTAATTTTTGCAGGGGCCAGCGACCAGTCTGACCAGGCCGAAGTAGACGTTCTCATAAACCTGGCCCGGTAAGTGCCTATACTGGTAGCAGTGTAGTTACTGCTGGTGGCACCTGGAATTATCACCCCGTCTTTATCCCATTGGTAAGCATAAAAACCTGGTGTGATTCCCATATTTGCAGAAACAGGGCTGCCAGGACAAAAAAAGCGGTTATCATTATATACCAGCGGATTGGCCTTGTGCGCAGTGCTCCACATCGAATCGAACCTCGGCTCTTCCGCCCATTGGTAATCCCACAACACGTGGCCCTGTCGCGGAAAATAGCTCTGCATATATACCCCCCCGGATGCCCGGTAGCCATCCGTAAACAATTTTACTGTGGCTGAGTCCGGGTTGGTGTCCCTTCCGCCATTGGCAAGCCATAACGGAAGATGAATAGCCGGCCCCATGGAATTGGCCACATTATTAACCTGGATACCTGAGCTGGAAATAATAGTTGCAACTTTTTGAGGGTAGGCGAGGGCAAAATTGATACAGGCAAGACCTCCCATAGACAATCCCATGGAAATTACCCTATCGGCATCCCCTTTGCAATTGGCAACAATCGAGTCAATTACAATCATCATTTTGGCAAACTGGCTGCCATCCCAGCCCACATAGGGGGTTTGTGCAAAAAGTATAAAAGCGTCCTGGTCGTTGACAGTCTTGTTTTCAAAGGCCTGGGCGCCCTGGTACAATTGGTACTCATTGTCATAAACATTGGCATTGGCTTCTCCGCCACCATGCCAGAAAATCATAATTGGGTATTTTTTACCGTCGTTAACCCCTGGCACATAGCCATTGGGATACCGCATACGGAAAGGCAGGTTATCCACCATATAGCACTTATACCTGGTGGTTGACCAGGTAATGGATGCTTTGGGTGTACGCACCCACTTCACAATCTGATTATTATACGGAATAGACGGCTTGCCGGTAGCCAGATTGGTACCATTGGCATTGTAATTGATTATTGGATCATTGGGATCAAATACCGTTTGCGCCTTCAGTAGACCGCAGGAAAAAATAAGGATAAGACCAAGTAAAATACGTTTCATTTAGTACCCATTTACGTGTGCATTCGCACTTAAATTTGATTCAAGCGCGCAGGTTGATTAGTTAAATTGTGTATGGGGCAACTTCGTTGGGGGGTATTTTATATGGGATATTGCAGAAAGCAGGGGGAGGCTTTGGACGGGATGATGGATTAGGTTTGGGGGTGTAAGTGTAAATGTGTATGGGGCAAAAATATACCAATAATTTTATAAAACAAGTACCACTTTCAGGTATTTTTTAGATTCTTATTAACTAAAAACCCCCAAAAAGCCCATAGAAAGCCTGTTTTAGGGCAAAAACAACGCTTTGGGCAATGATGTTTTAATTTGACTTCAAGCTACAGCGCCAGTTTTGAATTAAAAAAAAGTTGTTTTAACGGTGCTGGACAGAATCTTCCGTTTTTTTCTTTTTTCCAAAAGGGCTCAGGTTTTTGAGCAGGCCTTTGGCCGATTCTTCAATATTCTTCTTGCCATCGGTGGCTTTACCGTCATTGCTGGTGTCAGTTTTGCTGAACAACTGCTTTTTCAGCTCGTCTGCAGCAGTCTGTACCGCCTGTTTCTTCAAAGAGGCGATGGTATCTTTTACGGCACTGGTAACGGCCTTTTTGGTACTGTCTATTTTTGCTTTGGCAAAATCGGTGGCCTGTTGTTTCAAATCCTCCGCCAGCGAATTGGCGGACTGTTTCAAATCTGTTTTTAATACAGGGCTGGTAATGCTTCCTCCCATATTCACTTTCAGATTAACCACATCTCCCAGTTTAACGGGTACACCTTTGCTGTTTACCTGGCCCAGCAGGTTGTTCACAAACGCATTGCCTTTATCGCCCATCAATGCACGGGGCAGTTTCATATTTATCACATAGTCC